CTTGGATGGCAATAAGACAAATTTTTGGTTTTAACTCCAGGCCTTCTTGTGGTTTAACTTTTAACCAATCATTAATTTGATGGTCATTTCATCCTGTTGCTACTGAAAAGATATTTAACTGTTAAATTATTTAGCTACTCAGGTAGAACCCTGTTTTTTGAAAACTGTCAGCGAAAGCAAATTCATTTTTGGCAGGAAAAAAGACTACGGTAGTCACCAACTTCTAGAATTTGGTTTCATGTCATATGGACACAAATTAAACAGTTGAGAAAAGTGAAATGAGGCTACCAAATAAGACTCTCAAAACCTGGTGCTACTTCCCTTGTTCCTTTTTGATCTTCACATATGATCAATAAATTGAAACAAAATCACTTGTGTCAACACAACTGAAAGATTAGGCAGTTGCTGAAACCAGCAGGTAATACAGCCTTTAGAATATATCAAATGCCATCAAGTCTAATAAATCTTCTCTGCAATTTTAAAAGCTTACCTCCCTTATCAGTGTAAGTCACTTATAGAATCATTCATTCAAACAAATTTGATGTACTTAACAATCAACATGACCAAGCCACATCAGTCAGGAGTCCTGACCATGGGAGAATGGTTTTTTGCAAAGGGTGCTTTCCTTTGGGGTGATCTGGATCAGGATCAGTGATCCAAGATCGCTTGGATGATGGTGCATCAAAGGAACTGATGATCTCAGATCAGTGATCCTTATCCAGATCACCCCAAAGGAATGCACCCAAAATCTCAGGGTTTTGCTGGCAAGTGTTGAATGATTAATGTTGCAGCTTGCATATGCGCCGAGCCATGAAACCCTCCCGTTATTGTAAGGCCAATTTAAGTACTACAATGTAATCTTAGACAGTACAGTGTGGTGTTCATACATTCATTTTGTGTATCCTGTAGAGAAATAGGGCAAATAAAACCTGGTGTGGAAGGACAAGATCCAAGTAAAATACAATATGCAACATGGGATGAGAGTGGACATTCTTTGGTAGGTTGAATGATTTATTT